CCTCTGACAATACAGGCCCTAGTTTCCACAGTAGAGCCTGGGCTTGCAGAAGTCCTCCAGGAAAGTGCGTTACATACAGGTTAGCCACGTGTCTTTTCTCTGGACATTTGTGGTGACCAACATACACAGACATAGGGGAATTTCTTAGACAAATTAGGGGAGTTATTTGAGAATCCCAAACAGACCCCTTTTCGCCACAGAAATGAAGCCATTAGCATAACTACCCTAGTGCAGTGCTTTAAATGAGCAACTGAGCTGAATACTGAATGGCCTGCTTCTCAAAACCCCAGGCCGCACGATCAGGGAGCCTTGGCCTGGCTTAGCCACAGCCAGATAGTGCGTCTATTTAGAGGTAAAATTTAGAAATAGCCCCCTATTGTGTTTGCTCTTCCCTCCTCGTCGCTCTTTTCCATGATCATAATGAGCTGTTTACGCCTCCTTCTAGGCCTTGCGTTTCTTATCTTTTTATGTAATTGGAGCTGATACACGGCAAGTGATCAGCTCACCATCTGCTTTGTCAGCACCAGCAGCCCTACTCCTCCTTCTCTGATTCCTGGCTGGCATCCCTTCTGAATCAATCCTGACTGGAAGAAATAATGAATTTTTCCCCTTCACCGGGATTGGGAGATTATTAGTCACGCAGGACTGCCTGTTTGTACGATGCCAAGCTGTCTCTTCCTATCAGCTGGATGAAAATTTAGCAGAAGGTACATGACTTGGGTGTCAGAGTGGGTTAGAAAATTGCTATATAAACGCCGCAGTGTGAAATTCCTATTCGCCTTCTGTTGTGCGTGCAGGAAGAAGTCACTCATTAGTCAATGTCAATTAAATCATCCTTGAAGAGTTTTGTCTTGGCCTTGAAGGTTCTATTTATAAATACATTGGCAGAGATTTTCTATTTTTTTTCAAAAACTGCTACATTTGGCTTTGCAACGTGGCCTTTTGGACATCCATAGTCATCTCATTTTGCATAACGTAGAAGTCAAATGGCTTCCCAAGTACTCTAGCATATACCTTCATTCTTCCCTTCTTTTCACAGCACGAGACCATCTTCTCTAAAAGAGCATGCCACACATATTCGTAGTATACTAAGAACGGAAGCTCAGGTGGCCTGAATCTTAAAACTTGAGCCGTTGCTTGCTAGCGGCGGAGTCATGGGTGTCCCTCCTGTCTATCAGTAGTACAGCTGTTTTTCTTGTTGGAGAGCGTGTCTCAGTATGTGGTCATGTGAGCCCTGGCACTTGTAAGGTTTGGCATGTGCTGCAGCAATGGTCCACGGGTTTCTGAGCCTCTGGTTCAGGGGGAGTAAGATGATGTCAAAGGAAATTTGGGTTCTTGTGAGGAAGCAAGGACAGCTGGAGATGTGGTTGGAAACGACACAGACAAACCTCTTTGGTTCCCGTCATGCGATAAACACATCTGATAAATGCTATTTGCATGATTTTCTATCAAAAACTGCTACACTTGGCCTCAGAGCATAGCCCTCTGGCATTCATAGTTACCTCATAATGCCGAGGTCAAATGGTTTCCCAGGTATTCCATTATATACTTTTACTCTGCTCCTCTTTCCTGAGGGGTGGGAAGGCGACTACTCTACCCATCCCAATCAAGCATGTTCTTTGTTAGAGGCGTTTTCATAAATAAGTGCAGTGCCAATATTGCAACAAAATGCCCCGACTTACTTTAGACAAAGCGAGAAGAACACTGAACCATCTTCCTGTAGGATTCTCCCGTGAACTACAGACAGTGGAATCAGAAGCAAACATACCTAACTCCAACTCCTATCTCAGTTTACTTTGTTGAGAGAGGAGAAAAAGGTACTCCTGTGTTACTTGGAGATGAAGACACAGAACAGTAGCTGGTTTCCTTTTTAACATGAATAACACCTTGAGAGCAGGTCACAGCTTGTGACTAGTGTGTGCGTAGTTCTGATGAGGTGCTCAAACAGATGATAATTGCAGAAGGCTATTATTACTTGGCGTGCCTTTTATTGGTCCAGGTGTTTTTCAAAGATTGTTTTAGTTAATCCTTCCAAGGACACAATGATGTAGGTGATGTTACTGCTAATTTCTATTTTCCAGATGAAGACAGGGTGCACAAGAACTTTTGATAACATTCAGAACTTTACAGAGCTAATAAATGAAGTACCTAGAGTTGAATTCAGGCAGCGTATCTTCTGAGGCAGCTATTTCTGTGCCCATGTGTCACACAGGAAATGTGCATAGCAATGTCCAAGCTCCCAGAACAATGTCCAGATTTTAAAAGCACTTGGTAGACTGTGGTCAGATGGTTGATGCAAAGAGTAAACAAATAAAAGCACATTGGACTAGATTGGACTAGCTTACAGAGGGGACTAGCTTACAGAGGGAAAGTGAGCATCCTGAGTTTGTAGGGGTCTTTTGATTTAAACTTTGTGAATTTGGGGAAAGGATCTTCCCAAATATTGCCTCAACATAACTTAATAAAGACAGAAACCTATATGTGCTTGTTACTAAATAACTGATTTTTTAATATTTTGAATCAAACAAATATATCACTTTCTAGAAACACTTTCAGAACTGAGAGTCTCACCGTCACCTCAACTGCTTAAAAACGCTTTTCTCTTTATTGCGGTTTACTTAAGATCAACAGCCTGATGCAGTCTCTTTCTAACTTGGCAACAACTGACATTATATAATAGTACTTATTTGACTGCTGGTTCTATCGAAGTTAACACAGAATATAAAATAAAGTAGTAATTTTGACCAAATTCAGGAACTTGAAAGTTTTCTAGTTTATCTTGTGCTTCTAGGTAAATTCATTTAGAGTATATATATAAAATCCATTGTATAGTTTTGAAAACAGTTATTTAACCACACACTACAGATAAGACCCACTCATAAATCCAAACAAACAAAAGGAAACAAAAGTCCTACTAAGATCTAAAGAAACAAACACAGGAAAGAGAGTCCCTTTTCCCCAGCATCTTTGGGTAATTCATGTTAGCATTCAAGCCTATAAGGAACTAAACATTTTTCTAGAGGTACCCAGCTAACACCAAACCCCAGTGCTGTGTGGAATGCCTCAACTTAAGAAAGACCACTAGTCACTCATCTGCCACTCAGCGTTCATCCAACCTACTGATCACAAATGAAGCATGGCCACACATTCTGGTAGAAGACTCCCTATTCAACATGCACAGCAGTAACAAGTAAGATGCTCTAAAGCAGCCTCCCTCTCAAGATGCCTAAAAAGGGCCAAATTGTCCAGGTGGGAAAATTTAGGAAACAACATAGAGAGATTGTGTGTGTGTGTGTTATTTTAATTAAAATTGAATTTATTTTAACTAATACATAAAACCTAAAAATTATATTGTAAATATTAGTGACCATGTGATGTTTTCCATGTAAACATTACGTGTGGCTTTAAGTTAGTTCGAGCATACCTATCTCCTTAAACATCATCTCTATATGGTGAAAATAGTCAAAATCCTCTCTTCTAAGTACATACCATACACAGAAACACAACAGCCTAAAAGCTAGAGATCTGAGATCTTACACATCACAAAAACAGATAGATCTCCTGCTACAGAATATCAGTATTCTAGTGAGGTCCGTGTGAAGAAGAGGTCACTAGAGATGGGTGCTCGGAATTTGGTTATTCACGCCATTTTTGTTCACTGTATTTATAAGACCATCCAAACTTTAAAATACACAGAAGATTTTGTTTTGTGTCTTTTTGGTCATGATAGACATAGAGCAGCAGATCCTCCTGGGGTTATCTATCCTCTAGCTGTACATGCCTTGGTTTGACCTGCTATTTACTGTAGACCAAGACAGATACTGCCATTCAGAAGACTGATCATGATAAAAATCATTCTAGTGCGAAAATATCACAATGAATTTTGTTCAGTACAGATAGAAAAAAAAACTGTATCTTTTAGTCTGTCCCATAGAAAAGATAACCAAAATGTCATATTTTTACTATCCTGGGACATTAGCCAGTTGGGTACCGATGCAATTTTACTCAGTGTTTTCTTTAGGTCACGATAAAGATCTCCACTGTAGGGACTGGCGAGATGGCTTCTGAAGTCTGTAGCCCTAGCCCAGGAGGTAGCCATAGACAATGACAGAGTGTTGTTGGTTCCAGTAAAACAAGTAGCTTGCTGCATTCTGCCCACATGCTATGGTCTGCTGACCCTTGCCTTTGAATCTTGTTGAAAATGTGAGTGGGGATATACATGCTCTCTCTACTGACACCACCTTGCCCCCAAAGTGTCACAGATACTTGTGCATCTCATGACTGCATCTTTATGCCCTGGTTCCTGTGAAATGTAGTGTGTAGACGAAAAGCCACTTCCCAGCCACAGCTCCGCGTCATGAAGGAGAAACAGACATTTGGATATCTCAGCCACAGAAATACACATACATGGCAATGGCTCTGCAGGTCCTGAGAGCAGTGCTTGCCAACTTGCAGATCTCTACACGGCAGAGCTATTTTAGCTCTTAACTGGAGTGAGACAATGGTCTATATTCTGTCAATTATATTTTAAATAAACGCTGATTGGCCAGTAGTCAGGCAGGAAGTATAGGCAGGACAACCAGACAGAAAGTAGAGGTGGGGCAAGGAGAACAGGAGAATTCTGGGAAGAGGACGCAGTCCTGTCTCAGCCACAGAAGAAGCAAGATGTGACTGCCCCGCTGAATAATGTACTGAGCCACGTGGCTAACATAGACAAGAAAAATGGGTTAATATAAGTTATGAGTTAATAAGAAGCCTGAGCTAATGGGCCAATCAGTTTATGATTAATGTAGACCTCTGTATGATTTCTTTGGGACTTAATGATTGCGGGAACAGGATAGAACAGAAAACTCAGTCAACACCTAATCACTAGTTTGCTGGTTTTAATTGGAAGATTGTTATTAATCCATGAACGTAGTATAAAATAAAAAGTGTTATTAGTTATTGTGATAAAATACCATGACAAAGAGCAACTTTAAAGATAAAATGGTTTGACTTACCTTAAATCTCAGCAGTGAAGGAGTAGTTGCAGCTCAGAGGTTGACCTCGGATTTAGGAAGCAGATATCACACTTATCTACTCAGAAAGGTAGAGAGAGATAACATGAAGTGAGGCCTGGCTATAAAACCTCAAAGCCTGCTTCCAGTGATGACCTTCCCAGTCTCCCAGAGGTTCCATAACCTCTAAAGCTGCAAGAGCTGTGATGTATATACTCAGTTCACACAAATGATTCAGTCAGAGCTTGTTGGGCATGAAACAGGACCTTTTGGTGATGGTTTGCATGTGTCTTCTCTACTGAAAGCTGAGTTTCTCTAGATATGTGAGAAAAGAATGGCCTGTCTCTAGTGGACCAAGGGAAGAGAGGATCTGTTTTGTCTGACTTTCCTCCTCACTAACAGCAAACACTTCCTGCCTCCGTGCCGTATTGTGTCTTCTCTACTGAATGCTGAGTTTCTCTAGATATGTGAGAAAGGAATGGCCTGTCTCTAGTGGACCAAGGGAAGAGAGGATCTGTTTTGTCTGACTTTTCCTCCTCACTAACAGCAAAGACTTCCTGCCTCCTTGCCGTATTGTGACTTCTCCTAGCTGCTAATCTCCTGCTCAGAGTTCTCCCTCAGACCTAGAACTATAAATCACAAACTCACTGCAGGTTTTCCTTGCTTTATCTTTAGGAATCTGATTCAAAGCATTGAAATAGTTTCTGATGGAGGTTTATAAAGGTGCAGGTTTGCTGTGACAGATTAGGAGGGGGATTTCCTAACTGACTTGTGTGATACCGGTTATATCAGAGCACATAAGGCGTTCTGTGGTGGCGGTGCCTACATTCCTGTCATCACAAATCACTTTCACGCTCACCGCCTGTACTAAACACCAATGCCATGGGTCACTGCTGTCACGTTATAGATGTGACTCTTCAAGGCTCACATCCCAGCAGCTGCCTTTATTCCCCTGGGTGTTTATGCCTGTAATTTAGATTAGCTGCCTCAGTAGAATCAAAACTACCCGGGTGATGAACCCGTGGCTGCATTAACTAATCTTCCTGTAAGGCCCCCATAACAGTTGAAATCGCTAATGTTTGGTTTTCATTCAGGGCACAACACTGAACTTGTCCCTACAGCCAAGGATAACAGTAACTCAGGTTAACATGGCATGATATTTGCATTTTACAGCTTATGGAAATATTTTTTAATGCAAAGGGAATGTGTAGACCTTCAGTTACATAGTGGTATACTGACATCAGTCTGGCTCCAACATTACCTGCTAGGCAGTTTTGTGGGCTTCCCTGTTTCAGCGTTGGTTTTCTTATCTGAAAGAGAAAAGCATGAACAGGACCTTCAGGGACTAAGCATGGGAGATGTCTTTCTTTCGTCATTATTTAATGTCTTTCTAATGATCTACCAAGACATTATTATACCAGCTTTATAATTTATGTGGAAAACTGGTGTTTGCCTTTCTCTTTCTCTTCTAATTTTGGTGTCATACTTTATTTATAGCAACTTTTATAACCTCCCATTACCTTAATAGATTATAATGGACATACTCAAGAGTTGTTGGTGCAAGAACATAGGAAAAGGTTTATTTTAAAATGTCGTTTAATTTTTTGACTTTAACATTCAACTTCTTTTATTGGGAGTGCAATAGCTGCTTATGAAAAATTCTAGAGCAAAACTTCATGTCGGCTGTGTGGAGGATTGCCACACAGCCAGGCAGGAAGCAGAGGATGGATGAGAAGCTTGATCAACAGTTTGGTTTTTCACAGCTGTATCCCTCATCAGTACCATGGCAACCGAAACATCAGCTAGGATAAATGATCTTAGCTCACACAACTCCTCCCTTGTAGCTACACTAACCATCTTACTTTATAACTAGTGAGGTTTATGTTGGGGTTAAGCCACACTAAACATCTCCGGATTCAGAATGATTGCTATAATGTGTGAAAATCTGACTAATAAGGTCTGAGACTAAATGAATTAAATTAGTTCATGTCTTTTTATCATATTCCGTGTATTCTTCCTAGGCTCTCTCTAATGTTGTCTTGGATGTTTTCCTTTTGATGTTCCTCCTCAATGTTCCTCTTTTGATGTTCCTCACAGTTCCTCCCATCCCACGAGGTTTCCAGTTTATATTAATACACATAGTTAACAATTTTTCTGGTAAATAACAATGATCCCTCGCAATAATTTCTTAAGGGCTTTCAGAATGGATAAAAGACTAAAAAGGTAGGCACCTTATGTCTCAGAAGGGGTGTGGCTGTGAAGTTCCCCAACAAGGCAGATACCAGGAGGATGAGAATGGAGCCTGGCACCCCAAGTTAAGCATCAGGATGCTGTATCCACTGGCACCCAGGTGAGAAGGAATTTCTTTCTCTGGCTCTGGTTCAGCGACCTAAGCTTTTTGCCTGTATATTTTAGGGGTCAAAGTACAAACAGTTAATTTCCTAGACTAAGACCTTGTGTCAACGGAAAGTATAGAATATTAATAGCTTGTTAGGGTAGAGCAAAGGCCAGTAAGTTTTACTCTCCTGAGTTTGCTATTAGAGAATTCAGGGCCACCCAGACCTGTTCATCAATAAGAGCAGACATTCTGTCTCTACTGTTCAGTGGCTCCTCCTCAGGGCTCCCTTCTTGAAAGTAAGTCCTATGGAGGACTACTACTAGCTTTATGTAGATTTGACCATGAGAACAAAAGTTAGGCTGAGTAAATGCTTCACCCCAGTGCCCCATGATGCGGGAAGTTGCCCATACAGGAAGCAGTGATCTCATCAAATGATTTATAGACTGCTGGGATACTTTGGGATGAATCCCATTATGGGATAGAGAAGAGCCATGACTTCACAAGATTGCTACAGAATTGACGGTGACTATTCAAAAGACAGGTGTTTCCAAAGCTCTGTACATCGGGTTCCTCGCTACTCCCGTGAGTCTGCCTACTAATCTGTCAGCCGTACTTTTACTGTATAATGCTTGTGGCTCACAGCTACTGGAGGGAGTGTCTAGATAGTTGGGGGAGCTCTGGAAGCCGGAGTTAATATCCTCCTTCATGCTTGTATTCTCTGCTGCTAACACAGTGAATGTGTTTAATAAAAGTCTGAGTGGGTGAGAAATGACTGAAGAATGACAAGAAGCCAAGGCTGAGAGCAAAGAATAATGTCTTCAAGGTCACCTTCTAGAAAGTGACAAAGAAGACTCAGGCTCCTCTTTGTCTTATACAAACGATGAGGGGATTAGCACTGTAAGACAGTGACTCTGCCAGATACAGAGGTAGCCCGAGTGCCAGTGATAGACTCTTGTCCCCTCAGCCAAGTGGAGTCACACATCTTGTGCCCGAACACAACTTAATATGGTCATGGCGTATGAGGACACCTTGCCGGGTCACCCTGGACTCTCAAGGAGCTTGTTCAGTTTTCTTTCACCTGCGTCTTTCCTCCCCACCATTACCCTGCCCCTGAGGTCATTAAATGTATATAAAGAAATGGTTGTATATTATTACCCTCTTTCTGAGAGCAACCACCCTCCTCTCGGGATTCCTGCATCTTTTCCTCTGCCTAGTCAAAAACAGAAAACATGTCCCTTCTCGGCTATCCTAATCTTCAAAGTAGTGCTCCCCTCAACCTTTTCAGCTGTGACTTGCTTACTGATTAAGTTATATTTATGTGTGAATTTCATTATGCTAGCCAAGAGACCCCCCCCCATGAATTCACAGCTTGCCCTTCAAATGAGGCTTTATAGCTTAAAAATCCTGGGAATGCCTTGAAATCAAATGTAAATCATATTTTTTTAACTCTAGGAAAATAGGAAAGATTTTATACAAAAGTCCAGGGTGACTTAACTACACATTTGTGAAGTTTTTGTTTGACTTAAGAAGTTCCAAAGCTAGGATACTAAATATCAGATAACCTGCTTTTGTCTCTGTCGTGTGTTCTTGTCTAACACTTTTTGAAGGCCGTAGACTTTATAGTCTTATGCTTGAAATGGCTGGTGCATGATCAGAGATCTTTATAATCAAAAGCAACATTCAGGGAACCTTTTGACTGGTGGTTACCACCCATCTCTACCCTTTGCCCCATGCGCTGCATGAACTCTGAGCTCAGTGAAGTCCGGTGTGAGGTTTTCTGATGTTTTTCAAAGCCACTGTGTATTGGACGGGAAGGGGAACTTTTGTTTTCCTTTGGGGAAAGGACATCACATGCGGAATAAAGAGACCACATCCTAGGGAACAGTTCAGTGATTATCCGTTAGAGACTGTAACTACCACATAAGCTAGAAGGCATTGCCTGTAAAAAGCTGTGGGTCTTAGGGGTTGAAGCCAGATCACTGTCATGTGGTATCAAAGCTCCAAAGGTCAAGAAAATGATAAAGACAAATATTTGTTTGTGCTTTGAAGTCAGAGCAGCCATTGTCCCTGGGAATGACAGCGAGAGTAGGCGTGGAGCCCTTCTGTGTTAGAATTGTGTGTGTGTTTCTCTGCAGCTCATCTGTGTATCTAGTCCACCAAACACTGCTGCCTGTCCCAGCTTAGAAAAGAAGAAACTGGATTATCAGGGCTATTACACTCCCTGGGGAAGGAGGCAGATGGTACATGCTCAGTTTTCAGCAAGACTTTCTTGCAGCGGAGGTTTTTCTAGGACAGGAGAGCCCAGCAACAGATACTAGGACACTGCCTGCGCCATTAGGAAAAGCTCAGTAAACATTCTATCATTCCAGAATCAATCATGTGTGTAATATTAAGTTGGGAACGTCACCCCAGCCCTTGGCCTGGGAGTTGCATTGTTCCAGACTCCAACTCCCAGCCTGCACTAGTTCTCAAGTGCCTTACAGATCTGAGATTATGGCATTTTATCAAAGAGCTTCGAACACAGACGTGCAGCTCCGGCAGCATCCTATAGCTCTTCCTGGAAGATGCGTGGTTACAGAAGGAGTTTCTGCCTCCAGGCTTGCCCTTGGCCTTGGCCAAGCCACTCACAGCAAAAAGCGGTCTTTCACCTCTTCAGCTTGCTGGATGCTTCACTCTGGGAATCGATCTCCTCATCCTGCCAAGACAGGTAGACTAAATCTTTCCCCCACATAAAAAAATAAATCGTTGGGCCTCTTGTGCTCAGCAGCTAATGGCATCTCTGCTCCTAAGACTAGTGTTCTCCAAGGATTGGGAGAGATTTTAGGACTGCATGATAGCTAAAAATCTGTCTCATTTTTTGCTCATTTATCCCTCCCAGATCTGTCTACTGGCATTTGACAACTTAAGGTACAATTAACTTATTACTTCATCCATGACATTTAATGAAGTTTCCTGCCAAAATACAGACAGGTGTGCCTCTTTAACAGGCTTCTTAGTCCAGGATTAACAGGTTTCAGGTGTATCTTCAGAGGTTCAGAGTTCCCAGTTTCTTTTAAAAATCTGTTCCAGTTCTCTCTCTTACAGCTACTACACAGGTTCCTGGAGAAGTTTTTTGTTTTTTGTTTTTTTGTTTTTTTTTTTTTTTTTTTTTTTTTTTTTAGTTTCTCGAGACAGGGTTTCTCTGTGGCTTTGGAGCCTGTCCTGGAACTAGCTCTGTAGACCAGGCTGGTCTCGAACTCACAGAGATCTGCCTGCCTCTGCCTCCCGAGTGCTGGAATTAAAGGTGTGCGCCACCATCGCCCGGCTGAGAAGTTCTACTAAAAGTCTCCAGAGCCCCAGGCAGTTTCAAGCATATTTTACAGGTCACTCCTGTTGCCTGGGCCAAGACCAACCTACAAAGCGCTCCCCAACACCAGCTCCTGGGACTTCACCATTGGTAACAACTCTTCTGGATCAAGGACACCTGCGGACTTAAATCTTGTTTTATCTACTATTGTGTCCCATGCCATGGCTAGCCCCATTTCGCATGGCCAATAATAACAATATTTTTCTCCTAGCCCCCTGCCTTCTTCTACTCTAGTATGACAGCAAACCAGATGCCACCCCAGCCACTCTTCTTGCTGCTGACTAAGCGTGAGCATGCCAACTCTCGCTCTCTCCTTGCCAACTCTCGCTCTCTCCTCTCCCACCTCGCCCCATGCCCACAGAAAGTACCCAGACTTAAGCCAATGCCCCTTTATCTAAAGAGAGCCTAAGATGTTGGTCGTAAATATCACCTCAGCTCCTTGTCACACCCCTATATCCATAGAGTCTGGAATGTAAGTTGGGAGCATCACCCCAGCCCCTGGCCTGGGAGTTATGTTGGTCTGGACTCCAACTCCCAGCCTGTCAAGTGCTACTACTCCCACAGGGTATTTAGGTGGCTTCCCAGAGAAGGAACACATGGTTTGGGGTTTTGCCTGTGTTCTCCCT